GGGGGGTCTGGCGCTTCACACAAGAAGACTGCGCCAGCCCCAACCATACACAGACGAAGAAGGAGGGGTTAGATGAAGAGGAGGGGAAGATGGGAATGTCGTCAACACCAAGTCTCGGCACAGGCCCAAATAGTCCCTCGTCGAAATGTCTGAATCCCAAATGTCCAGTCTGGATCCAATGTCGTCAAGTCTCAAGTCACAACTCTTTCTCTCTCTGTCGTAGTCTGAGAAGTCAGGTGGCGAGAGGGTGAGAAGAGATGGTGGACTCAGAAGAGGAAGAAGAACTCTCTCTCTCTTTGTGTCCAGTACTAACCTGTGAAGTTGGCGCCTTGATGCAGGTACCTCGAAGATGGAGCTGGAGCGATGGCGCCACAGGTAAGTACCACTGGCCTCCGCCAGTATCTCTCCCACTCTACGATCTACCACCTGCCAGCGCCCAGCGCTGAAGACTACTCTAGCTATGGGCGCCCAGCGCCGAAGACTACAGCTAGCTCTAACTACTGCCTACCGATGAAGACTACTGCAGCGCTCCTCCTGAGTGCTGCCTGAATCCTGAAGACTACTTGTGCCTACTGACTCTACCTAACCGTGAAGTGCCTGGGAAGTCCTATGTACTACCACGGGTGCCTCCTGACTGCAGGCGAGCAGTCCAGGAGGCTGCTCTTGCCAATGCYGATCGGAGGCASGGGCTGCCGCTGCARCTCCTGCTCAAGGTCGTGGGAACAGGCTATTTCTGGCCTGTTCCTGAAACCCTGTTTCCGTGCCTGAGTCTTAGGGGCGGTTGAAACAATGAGGGCCTGAAAATGGCCCTCCGTTTGAGGCTGGAAAAACTCTGGGTCTGAAACACCCAGAAATAGGCTGAAACGGAGTAGGGCCTGCAGGCCCTCGTTTTTCAGCTTTCAGGCTGAAACGACCGGGGCCTGTAAGCCCTAAGTTTTAGGCTTTTAGGCTGAATGTCCGGGACGGGCCCCTCCTTGAAGAACCGAGCTTACCTGCGAGAGCGAAGCTGTCTGTCTGAGGGAGGGACCACAGTCCGGGTGGGAGGGGCTGGTTGTGAAGCTTCCTGAGCTAACCTCCGCTTTTCATAATGCGCGTAGATCAGCGGTGCGGATGCTTTCAAATCTGCGCCTGAAATCCACCGAGTGTCATCGCGATCGCATGCTTTGAATGTGACTTTGAGCTGCCGCGGCTTGCTGCTGTACTTGCGATCGGTGATGACGTGGTCAACTTCCTGGTGACCATCCATAGAAGGAGGGTCCTGTGATCGTCGGCCCGAAAAGTCGTCGCTCTTGGCTGACGTGTATGTTGCCAGCTTCGAGGCGTGGAAGACCGGATGGACCGTCAGATGCTCTGGAATGTTGATCATAAATGAAGGACCATCGGGCTCATCGCCCGCGGCTGCTGTCACAGACCAAGGTCCAAACCACTTGGGAAGCAGTTTGCGTGAAACATCCTGTTCCAGTGCAAACTCTTCCGCGGAGACCCAAACCAGATCACCGGCGCGGATGGGACATGGTATGCGTCGCCTGTTGGCTTGCTGCTGCATGCGGACTTGAGCCTTTTGCATGTTTGCGCGTGCTTGAGTCAGCAATTCCCTATACTTCCGGACGGAAGCGGGAGAGCCGGCAGCGTCAATGTCGGCTGGTCGAGGGAGGAGAAGGTTGGCGAAGATCCGGCCTTTCCGTCCACCGTGGTGCAACTCGAATGGAGTCACGCCGATCGCTGGATGCACCGAAGTGTTGTAGGCGAACTCGATGTCGGGGAGGCGGTCAACCCAATCTTTCTGGTCCGGACGGATGAGCGTACGAAACATCATTTGAGCGGATTGATTTGCTCGCTCCGTTTGCCCATCTGTCTGTGGATGCCGAGCCGAACTTGGTTTCACTGTCGTGTCGGACTCCTGCATGAGCGCAGTCCAAAATGTTGACATGAAACGAGTGTCGAGGTCGCTGACTATGTCTTCTGGTACACCGTGGCCACAAATCCAACCAGTGTGCAAGAGGCGTGCCAGCTCGGGAGTCGTGGAGTAGTACTTGCAAGGGAGAAAACGCGCATACTTACTCAATCGGTCCACAACCGTGAGGATGCCGTCGTGCCCGAGCCGGTCGCGGGGAAACG